CCTTCGAACTTTTAACCAGATTCGACCAGTTCGACTTTGTGGACAGTGTGGCCAGACCTTGATGCAAGCATGTCTAGGTTGCGAGAATTTTTTTTATGCATAGGGTTATTTTATTTTATGAAAAATTACAATTAAAAGAAACCAATTCTAATAACTCAAAAAGTTAACTTAATTTTTTGTACTGTATTAACTGAAATAACTAATCAGCGCTGCCCTTAATTTATCCCTTAGCCATCACCATCTAATCCGAAGCCAAATGGCCAGCCTGTCGCGCATGAGCACACGAGTCGAACCTCAATACAAGGTTCGTTGAACATCCCACTAAAAGTTCGAAAAAGTCGAACCTGGTCGAACTCGAACCTCGGCCGGTTCGCGACACCCCTAGTTAGAACTACTTGGAGAGGGCACATTGCAGTATTGGTGAAGCCTAGTCATAAAAAGTTTAAACGATGTTGTGGCCAACGTGACCATAGATCTCTCTGGCGATTGGTGCGCGTGACATGTCACGTGTGAGATGGATGGTTGATTGTCGAAGGATTCCTTGCAGTCTTGCGCGCGCTCCGTTCGGTAGGTTTTATCAGATCGAAGGCTAGACTGTGGTGTATTCTAGTACCCCATAGCTAGACGAAGGCTAGCTACGGTCACGTGATGTGGACACGTTGCCTGATAAGTGAGAAGACTAAGAAGAAAAATGAGAAAGAGGCTAGGCGTCAAGGGAGCATGGCTCGTGTAGGCTCCGCGGCTGACGTCATGCCCTCTCCTACCCTTCTATCCTCCTTGGCCCCGTCCCGGGACATGGCGTAATTGCGTTTGGTGCATATCTGTCTCCGAAACACGTTTCTTTCCGCGGAATTTGTCTCCACGGTCCTTTCCAGGTCTGCCCCAAGCATTCCGGTGCTTCCGTAGCCGGCAATGCTACGGTCGTCGCTAGGGGTGATGCGTGTTTTCGATGTCGGCTACACGGTTATACGTGTATAACCGAAGCAAAACACGTTTTTTTACAACCTCGCATGATTTTTGCATGAATCATCCGTTACTCAACATGTAAATGTATAATAATTTGTGTAAAAAGCGTGTTTTTCACCCCAAATATTCACCAAATACACGGGATTTGCTAACAGTGTACGTAATATATTTTATACGCCAAGTTATTTAGTTAATTAGACTAATTATCTTTTTTTTTCGTTTCAGGGCCGAATTAGAGAGTCGTAGAGAACATTGAGAAACACCTAATTGAATTGTTTCCTGCATAATACGCTTTGCGGGCTTCTTTTTCTATTAACCCAAAAAAATGACCACGAAATAGTAAAAAAAAAAGAAAGAAAAACGCTTGACAACGCGTTAGCGCGTAGCGGTTGCAGCGCTGTCAGACGAGCTCTGAAGGGGCGAAGTCCGGTGGTGCGCTGTCCGATACAGGGCTTTGCGGCAGTAGGTTCTCGCGCCCGTTCTCCACTGGGGGTAACTTTACCGCACTACAACTTTTCTCACGCGCTAAATGTCGTTCGGAAAATCACTAATTTAGTGGTTTTCGATGAGGCTCAGCAAGTCTCTAGTTGTAACCATATGTCTATTTTCAATAATTAAAAAGCGAATTAGTCATGCTTTAATTAATTAACAAACGAATAATAAGTATTTCGCCTTTTCTGATGTCCTCCGCCACAAGTAATGCGGTGCCGAGGGAAGTATTGGTTTACGTTGAATACTCTATTTTCAGGAATTTGTTTCAGCCTTCGCCTAAGCATTTTGTATATGTGTATATACGCATTGTTTTTGCGCTTAAATGCGTTCCTTTAAAGAAAATATTAAAACCAACTGACAGGCTAGTTAGTTACACATAACGGGAAAAATGTACTGGAAGAAAGTGCTGTACAAGTTCTTCCGAGACTAGAACGAAAGTTCTTTTCTTATTCCTTCTCAATCTTGGAACGAGTTCCTGTCACAAGTTACAATGGTTCGAAAGGAATTCGTTCCCGTTGCATTTGTAAGATGGAACGTGTCGTTCAATTAATGGCGCAATTGCGTATTTAACTCAAGTACTGAGCTAGATAATGCGAACATAAAGCAAACAAGTGAAAATATATGCACGTCAAACTACGTATCCAATTGTCAGAAGCAATAGTGTTCAGGCGAGTTGGTTAGGAAACATCCCAACGTCAGGTCACATTTGTTCCAGTTCTTTGTATTCGAGTACGTTTCGGACACCGCCTAATTCCTTGAAATCTGTGATTGATGTTGGGGATAATAAAAAAAAAGGATTATAGTCAGTGTCAAGTTAAGAGTGAAATAGAAGCGGGTCTCATCTCTCTCCACTTTACAAGAGCGAATGCTGGAGAGAAAGTAGCCACCTCTCAAGCGTTCGCTCTGCTAATGTGGAAAAAGAAGGGAATAGCTCCCACTTAACTCCTTAACCTACCACCGACAACAAATCTCCGCTATAGGTACAAATAAATGTTCAAATATATAGAAAAAATATTCGTTATTTCTGCAGTTTTTTCGAAATGTAATGAGTTCCCGTTCCACCGATGCAAGATGGAACGGCGGCGTTTTTTCGTTCCTCGTAAAAGGAATGCGCTCAAGTAGTGCCGTTTCTCCAACACTGGTGCAGAACAGAAGGGCTTGTTGGAGAAGACAGGAAAATAAAGCATTCCTTTCTGGAATGAATAAACTGCACATGGAAAGTGTTTAGCGATTCATGCTCAAAAAAATATCAAATCTCATTAAATTCGCCATTTCGCAGAACAACAATTACACTTTATTGTGTGCCGCGATCGCATCGAAAGCCAGCCTTAACAATGGGCAGACAAAAGATATCACAGGCACGGAGCAGACGTAGTCGAAGCCTCACGTGGCCAATCGAGCCGACCGTGCGGCGAGCAAACGATGAGAGCAGCGTCAGTTCGCAAGGCAGTCTGGGACTGAGTTATTTTTTAGGCGTTGCTGCTGCGCATGATGTCATGCCGGGTCGTAGGGTATAGAACATCCTTGCAACTGCAGAGATGGCAGTAATGACATTGCAGTAATGTAATTGCAATAATTAAAATACTTTTTGGAGTAATGAGTAATGTTATGAATTACTTCTCTAGCCTAGTAATTTAGTAATGTAATGAATTACTTTCAGGCAGTATTTTCGAGAAAAGTACTCATTAATTTTGAGATTACATTTGTCCTAAATTAGAAAGTTCGTTTGCAAGCTTTAAAAAAAGAAGACAAACTTATTTTGCACGGTGAAATGTTGTGAAAAATCATCGGAGGAAATAAGCGACGGCCACCTGGGCGCAAACCCTTGAACGAAGAGCTGGACACACGCACAACAGAGGGTTGGAAAAGCGAAGGAGAAAAGCTAGCGTGTAGGCATCGCTGAAAGGCAACGGCTTACGTACACCAGGCACGACAGATTCACGGCGTCCTGTCATCAGGACGACATTATACTTCGTTCATCCCTAAGCTGACTTTACGATGGGAGCTCAAGCTAACCAAAACCAATCAAACACCTTCCTTTGCTCACCTGTCCTTTTCTCTGCGCGTGGGTATAAAAGAGAGCTTGGTTACGTGGCGGATGATAGACTGCTGCAACAAACACTCAGCTTCCACCATTCATCCCTGAGCTGCCTGTGCGCCTGCTAGGGGATGAACGGGTCATTGGCTACAAGGCGACGAGCACATCACCAGTGAGTTAAACATAAATTTAACACCTGAGAGGAAAGGAACAACAGATCCCCAGCCTTATACTTTCGTAAAGCAAGGTCAAACCGTAAACTTCGAGCATTGTGAACAAAAACGACCGGAATATGTATGTAATTCCAAGTGCCTTGTCAAAGCCCCAGAACGTTACCTGAGTCCTCGAGCAAAGCAGGTGCCGCTCGCGGTATGCCTCGCTGCCTTCTCTTGGGAAGTTTATTCGGGAATAAGCCTACAGGCAGATATCACCCACCGTTTGTTGGGAAAATACACAATTTATAAGCTCTCGCCATTCCTCAACTAGCGACGCTTCTGCCTAATAACTATCCAGGCCCTTTGCGTGACAATGCAGAAAACCTTGGCCCCTTCGGGTGTTTGGGAAGAATGCTCCTTGAAAGGAACGACCAAGGATAGGCCCTTGGAAGAAACGTTTCACGTGACGACTAAGGACCAGCTGCCATTGCCGGACTTGAAAAGCTGACTCGGACTACAACTTATAAATCCGGAAGACAGAAACATATAACCGTTTTGGTAACAACCTTCACATTTGAATGAACAGTGAAAGCGGTGAGTCGACTGTCTTTCTGAGTCACATTTAAAGAAGCTATACATAATGTCTAACACTTATGCCGTGTGCGCCAGTAAAACCACCGTTCCGTATGGTTCACTTTGAGGCACATAAGGTCGTTGCGGCATAAACAGAAAGATCTGAGTTTTGGTACATAGAGACCAACTCAGCTCTATGACGTCACATCACGGCGTTGGCGCTGCTGTCGGTACTGCCCATGCGCCTCGCTTCTCCCGGATCTGGTTCCGGGGCTCGCGCTTTGGGGGCAAACGAGGGCTTGCTTTGTAAACACTGTGTTAGTGTATACTGTAGATAAAATGAGCACGAATTACTGCCTCAAGGTTTTCAAAAGTAATGTCAAAGTAATTTCACAGTAACTTCATTACTTCTGGAATGTAATTGTAATGTAATGTCATTACATTTAGTGTGCGGTAAATTCTAATGTAATTTAATTAAATTTTTTGTTTCCAGAAAAGTAATTAGTAATGTAATTTAATTACTTTTTGAAAGTAATTTTGCCATCTCTGCTTGCAAGCGGGGGATTCATTCCTGACAAAATGAACAGAGACACACCCACCTAATCCAAAAAAAGGTGGGGGAGCGTGACTTTTGTAACTGCACACAAGGGAGTGCTTCTTTTACTAACAAAAAATAAAAACAAATTTCGATTCTTTCACAAACTTCGTAATCGGTGAAGCAATATAAAGCGAATACGCCTGCCCATATTGCAACTACGTTTCAGAGGTCGTCAACAATGCTGGCCCTGAAACATTTGGTGTTCTCTCTAAGCGTTTCTGCGGCGTACGCCGACGTAGTGTTTCAAAGTTGGAAGAAACCGCCGGACAACAATCCTGACCTGAACAGAGAAAACCTTGGTGCGATGCAGGATGCGTGGAAGGTACGATTTATTTTCATTGAGGATATCGATTTTTGTAACGATATTAGCCATCTTCCTGCTCATAAAGCGATTGCTGCTTCAGTCGAGATCCTCTTTATATTAGTGAGGAGATGGCAGCCGGATGACCTTGTGAATACATGTTCTCGAATAATGGCCCTGCAGAAAACAAACCTCACTGCGTAGTAAAAAATATGTGATTGCCTTGAAATGTTATAACCGAAAACATTAGTTAAAATATCTTCTTAAATTTTCTTTCTCCCTAACGTCTTGAGTTATATTTGGACGAATTCTGAGCCTTGGAGGATGCGTAGAAGTTTTTAACCTTTGGAAAGAATGCAGTTTCATCTTATGCTTGCTACACTGGTTTCCCAAATGGCACAAATTTTAAAGGATAATACAATAAAATTTGATGTCTATAATCAAAAAAGTAGAATGAAGGTAAATGAAAGCTGCCATTTTCGTTGCTTAATATCAATAATGCCTGTTCGTTCATTTCATCGGACATTTCTTGTTTATTAATGTTATTTTTACAAGCACGAATATTGTTTTTAAAGCCTTTTAGTAGTTTCTTTTTACGTCGAGTCTACATTTGTTTCTTTTATTCTTCTAAAGAATCAATGACGTGTTTTCACTCGTAGACTGCATAGATGAGAGTGGAGTGCGCGTTTCCACAATCTTCATCCTAATTTATTATGAACGCAAAAAAAATTGTTTGATTGTGCTATTACGTGTAGCGTAGCTTTGAGTAGAAGTGTCTTCACATTGTGGTTTTATCAATGCAGACCCAGTTATACCTGAGAACAGCGCTTAATTGACGTAAATATAATAACAAAAAACATTTATATGTATATTTCAGACAATCAGGTTTACAGCGAACCAGAGCTATTATCTCATTTATAGTAATGGGTTGGGGACCACAAGGAATTACAGAGATGTGAAATGTCTCCAAGTGCAAACAAGTGACCTCAATGACACATTGAAGAGTGCCAATTACACATCAAAATGGTACGACACAAAATCTAAAACAGTGTAAGTATGTCCATTGCTTCACAATGTCCCTACGGTAGAAGTTTTTATTAAAATATCCAACCAGTTCATTGAAGGGTTAGTTGCCTTTTCAAAAGCCGATAAGCATCCACGAGCTACACTGAAGCACGATCGCGTGCTTGAATTACTTTATTTTTTAGCCAATAATTTGGTGTCTATACTATTTCAAACTGTATACTGAGGTTTAAAAATGGTACGCATGCAGAAGTATGAAAATTCCTCTTATAACTAAGATAGGATCACAATTATAGCAGAATAGTTACATCGTCTGAGCAGCGCGTATGCACTTGCCCGCAGCATATATAGCTGCTCCTTTGTAAATATACATGGCAAAACTACATTTCAACAATATTGTAAAGGCTGCGAGAACAAGCAAATCTTTATTTTACGTAGACAGATTAAAGGAACATGAAGCAAACATCGCTTATGCAAAAGAAAGAAAAAAAAAAAGAAATGCGGCCTTCTTGCAACTCTAAATCTGCATGGAAGCTTCGGAAATTGCATTAATTGGCGATCTGTAGCCGGGTGTGGCAGATATGGGAGTGACGGTGTCCCGTCATTAAAAGCACAAATAAGTCAACAAAACCATTCCCCATCCGCTGCTAAAATCGGCGTCAGCCCCTTGGTGAACAGTCTTTCGTGTTGATCGCACGCCGCAACCTTCGGCGATGCTATACCTTAAGCATTGGGGAATCGCAGAGGGTGCGCTGGGTTCCTAACCCAACTTTAGACAAGGTGATGCTACAAGTGACGTCACTCAAAATACGGTGTGAGAGTTGAGGGGTGCGGTGACCTTGAATTTGTTTTATCTTTTTATAAAAAATCATCAAGGCGCACACAAGCCAAAAGGGTTTGGTGTACTTCGTTCTATAGGTGACACTGACTAATTCTTGCAGTTAACTGGCCAAACCCCAAAAATCGACGCACCCCCTCTTTCAGGTGTATAATCCAGACATACTAAAAGCATGAATGTGACCATACATATCAGGCATCGAAAGTAAAAGAAAATTTGTTTCACTGAGGTAGGATTAAAATACGGCGAAAAGACACCCACCGTTCTGTTTAAAAAGACCAAAAAGGGCCATTTACTGAAAGTGAAAACAGACATAAGTTGCCGGCTCCCACTGGGAGCTGGCAAAAATTTGCAAGAACGGTCTCACAAAACAATCATCTATTTGTCCTTTCTCAAATATAGCACTTTCGCATACCTGGCACATTCATAGCAGCAAGCAATACACATCTTTAAGAGCTAAGAATTATATGTTTGTAGCATAGTTTAGAAAAATAGTTTAATCGTTGAGATTCACTTGTCTGTGTCTAGTTAATTTTAGATGGTATTGAAGAATAATAATTGGGGTTGTGTGGATATTTATACCACGTGTATAAATATCTGTAAAATACTGTGAAATGGTCAGCCATTTCACAGTTGCGACGAGTCACTCGTTGTAGATGCGCAATTTAGGCAGTGCATTACAACCGCTAGCCTTGGGTCTTTAACGTGCACCACGCAGTAGGGATACATGACCGCACGCCTGTACGATGCTCGTTCAGATCGAAACGGGCAGGGGTGGGGATTGAACCAAGGATACTGGGTTCTGCAGCGCGAGCTTTCGCTTCATGTGCTCCGAGCTGGGGTGCCCTATACAACTCGGTCACCGACCCCTTTTTTGTTTGTTTGTTTGTTTATTGCCACTCGGCCACCGATCCCCCCTTGGTAAGCATTTTTTCGTTAAAAGGCAGCGTTATTTTTTCTTTTTCTTTAGAATGAAGAACAATTTTATTGTCAGGTTTAATTTAATTTCCCTACGGAAAGATAAAAAAATTAAACTTGAGAATCCTTTCTTTCCTTCTTTTCGGTATTTGACACACAGAAGGAATTAAGTTTAAGCCCTTTAGATAGGTTCAGTTCACATAATTTGAAAATGAGCCAATTGTTAAATCTTTTTATTTATTTTTTATTTTAACCTAGGCGTTTTTACCGAGAACGAGTGAAGTCAATAGCATACTGTTGAAATAATTTTGGCTAATCTGAAGGCACGGAAAGTGCTAAATGATAACTTTACGTTTGGTTTTGGTTAGTCTTTATATATCTGATTCATGGATTTGATATAGGCTAAATGCACAATAGCTAAAAATTATGTTACTATGGCCTTAAAAAAAAAGCGTGAAAAATAATGCCTTGTTAATATTTAACAAACGTTGTTATTTTCCCGAAAATTTATACCGAGCGTCCTTCATAGCCGACGTACACTTCCCGCGTTACACTTTCGCACGCCTTCTCCTTTTCTATATCTTCTCAACTTTCTACCTCGCCCCAACTTGGCTCCGCTCGCAGCTTAGGAGAGGGGAGCGCTAAGAGGATTATCTTCCCTGCAGAAAAATCGAGGTTGTACGTCGGACTTTAAGGTTAAACAAAATTTCTACATATAGTTATTTTTCCCATCTTGTGCTACAGGAAATCAAAAACGGAATTTGTTCAAGCTGTAAAACAAAATGATTATAGTGTTGAAAATATTATGCATCTGGGTACGTACCTTACAATTTCTTGTAGTAATAATTAACGCTAACATCGTCATCGCACGATTTCTGGCAAGTGTTGTGCGCGAACCAGTTGTCGCCGGGAGGAGAACCGTGAATGCAGCAACTATTTATGAATTCATTATTCACAGTTCAATTGCCAGATTGTCAACGGGCCATCCGTCGACTAACAATACTGTTCTTGAGCTTCTATGTGCTCTCCATTGACTTACTTAACCCTTCGCATGTGTTTCATGCCAGAGCAGCGTGCATGTTCCTTTATTTTTTTATATATTTGAGTACTGAGTGCGACTATGGTTCTGGTGTGGTTTGTTACTGTGTCATGTTTGTTTGAATAACTTATGTGGACCCATAAGGGTTAATATTAGCTTAAATATACTCCAGCTATTTTGTATCCAAAATTTAGCGGTACACATAAACCGGTGTAAACTTACCAGGAATACGAAGTCGCTGACATATTGCAAGTGCCGAACATAACTGAAATGTTTCCATTTAAACTATAATTCTGGTTTGATGTGTAACATGTTGTTCCTCATCTGTACGAGTAATTTGAAATGATTCAACGTATTTTTACTATATATAGTGTTGTTTTCGTTTTTAAAATATGCCCATGTCTAGTTGTATACCACCCTTGAAATAGTTAGTCTTTTCCTCTTTTTTCTAGATTGTACTTCCATAAAACATGAAAATATTAATGAAGGTTTTATTAAAAACAGTCGATAAAATGTCACTATCTAATGTACCTTTCAAACTTATCTCGCATTAACCTGAACCAACTAAATGTTCTCAGTATACCTAATCCGTAGCCTCCTCTAAACCCACAAAACCTGGCAGTTCGATGGCGGAGCCATAGCGTGCCCGTCCGCAGATATGAAGTGCGAGGATCTATCTGGCAGCACGGCACATTTCTCAGGGAGTCTGGTAATCACCGTACAGTTTTTGCAGCGGCGAGGGCCTGAACCATGGTTTTCAAACATGAAGAGAAAAGAAGCGGTAGCCCGAGGAACGCGAGAAGCACGAGCGGACATTCCATCGCTCGGGACAAGTGTGTTTCGGCGTCTTACCGCAGCGGGGCGCCCGCTACACGACTCTTGTCTGCCGCTCTACCCTTTCACTTCTGGCGCCCGCGTCACGTGACAATCTGCCAGGTTTTGTCAGTGCAAAAGAGGCTACGACTAAACTTACAACCTTTTTTTTTTTTAATATCGTCGACGAGCGGCCATTGGGAGCTAAAAAATGGCGTCCCTCAGCTATTAAAGCGATTCGTGTAACCGTCTAAAATATTTCGTTCGCGCGCGCTTGATGTGCGCGCTGCGGGGCTGGTGTTTGGTTTTTATTGCCGTTAGTTCCTTTTAATCTTTCCATGTGGTCGCAAGACTTACGTATTGTGCTCGGTTTGTTTCTCTTGCTTTGAGACTCCCCCAATTCAAAGCCAAGGCCTAGTTCATGAGTAACTTCTGAAAAACGCGGGAAAGCTGGCGCTCTTCCCTTAATTTGAGACGTACCATGATTGACGTAGGTGCTTGTTCAGCGACAACATGTTTCGAAACCGCGATCTCTTGTTACCCTGTAAGTTGAAGCGTAAGCGGGTTATACATTACTGTTTATTTCTTAAATACTTCTTGTAATTATTTCAATTTCTACGTAGTTTTTGTGTAGGTTATGGGAAACAGAAAGTATATAATATTAAAACCTGGAGTAAGCTATTGGAACTATGTTGGAAACAGTAGAAAAACGAGTGGCAGTTGCTTGCAATGGTATCAATTAACTTCCAATGCCGGGATATGAGGAAAATGCCCAAACAAGAAGGTACGCCATTCAAGACGGACAGAAGGTTACGCGCAAATACTCTATAGAAAACCTTTTCCTTTCGTTTTTATTCGGGGCATGAACGTGGAAGACTTCCACCACCAACATTCACGAACCAGAAAGCTCAATGGCGTCTTCACCTGGCTACATTGTGGGCATTCGACGGCCTTATACTTTGTCTCATTCCACGATGGACTAAAGCACAAAGCCACGGGCCGCCATGTCCAATCCCATTCGACTTTATACTATGACACGCTTAACATTGATTAGAGGTTGACCAATAATGCTCCAAATCCAAAAGCGCCGCATCATTTCTATAGCTTCGACGCTGTGCAAAGAGCCTATATGTCATGGTTTTCTTTGCGATGTAAAATTGTAGAGTCACTCGGTGTTCTTCGATTCGAGTCAGTCTGCACCCACCCCCTGCTCAGTGATACCAGACGCGGGATCCGATACGTGCATCGAAGCGAAATACCACACGATTTTTAAGGAGCTCGTGATTGGATCTTGCGGTCCGTAGCTTTTGCCTTCAGTCCATCCTAGGGTGAGACGAAGTATTAGCCCCGAGAGCGAACGCAAGCGTCGCTGCGGTCGCCGCGCCCTGATTGGGTGAGGTTTACCGTGACGTCAAGGGGATAACTCCGCTCCGCGATCTCGCATCGGCCCGCTTCCCAGCACCGGTCTCCATATGGTTTGGCCTTGTGTGCCGCGAGCTCTTCGAGGAGCTCGACTTCGTTTACCCGGTGTACAAGACGTTGAGTTAGGCCGATACTGACGCGCTTCCGTATATTTTATAAGCCTGCTTGTCCCTTTTACCTTTAAAATTGGGTTACAAATCCCGAAAGCTACCGGCGGAGGCAATTCCGCCGATGAACCTCCCCGGCTGTCCACACGGCACAAGGCAATTTCGCAAGGGATCGGTGAAGCGGTGGCGCAAGTGTTTCAGATGCTGGAATTCTGTTCCTTGCATGTTCCTGATTTAGGACGATATTACATCCCGCTTTCAAGACATTTGAAGTGACATTCATATTATGGGCCTTTACGTTGTCGGCAAATGAGCTCGCGACCCCGACTTTGCGCTGCCACTCTCCTTGCGTTGGTTCGCAGATGTTTTAAAGTCCCTGTTTCTGATTGTCTTCGAAGTGCTCGTGGAACAGGCTTTTTGTTACATAAATGTAGCTTCTTCGTGAAAGAATTATATAGTTTATACACGTATGCAGGCATATTTCCTAAAAGATGCACAATTACTGGAAATTTGTTTTTATGGTAGCAGCAAAAACGGCCGAATTGCCCCCAGTTACCTGTATGATATGTATTGAACTGCCCAAAATATGCACAGCAATAGTGCCGTAATTTGGAACGTTTATATTTTTTCCTGCAATTTTTATTCCAGCCTTGGGTATTCGGAAAATACACCGTTTAGTCTGAAATTACATTTCAGATTAAAAGAGACACTGCTCCAGGTCTCCAAAAACTTCCTCAGCCTCCAAACTCCCTACAGCTGGACACTCTGGCAACAGAGTAAAACAGGAGTAAAATTAAGCATTCGAACGACTATCCAGTGGTAGATGCAGCACTAGTAGCAGAAAATGTGGAACATGTGAAGGACGACAGTCTGCCTGAGAAAAGCTTCTGGTATTTTAGCTTCAGGACAATTCGATTTAAGTAAATCTCAATTTTAGGGCTTAAGGGACTAATAACGAGCTAGGCACCTTCGCTTACGTTTGTTTTACATTACTTGAGGGTTGATATAAACAAGTCCACAGATACCACCCGTGTAGACCATTGAAAAAATATCCGAATCCAGCAAAGGTCAAATGCGAGCAATGTATATAATAAATGTTCCTTGTTTTGTTTTTTTCTTTAACTTTGCCCCAGCACTTTGGCTGTCTTACTTGTGATTCTCTCCCCATGACATAGACTGTACTTAGCATGTTGCTCCAGCAGCATGCAGCTTTTCTGCTTCGGCGATCAGGTTTAAAAGCAGATGCAAAAAAAAATAGTATACATAACCTGCCAATTCGTTCAGACCATCAGCAGCATTTATTGTGCGAGATGTAAATCTATAGTGATGCTCCTGCAATTGTGGCCATATTTATTTTCACATACCAGCTGCGATTCATGCGTTGCCTGCGCTATTAACCATGCTTAATATGTTGGTTGAAGTTTCGTCTGTAGCTATAGGCCATACCTCAATAAAGGCACATATAAAAATTTACACTTCCTATGGAAAACACGCCAACAAAAAAAAAATAGAAACGAGCGCGCCGACAGCTAGCGTCGTCACAGCCTCCACAGGGCGAGCGTTGCGAGTCGGGGAAGAATTCTCTCCTCGCCTTGACGTCACCCAGGTTTGCCGTAAGGGGGCGCCACGCGACCTTCTCGGGGCTAATAGTCGAAAGGCTCTGTTACACTCCAACGTTGAGCGAAGCGAACGGAGCGTAGCGCGGAACGCGCGCGTTTGATTGGCCGGCGAGCAGAACTCGATATATGCGAGCAGTTAGTGGGGAATTGTAGTAGACCGTTCCCGCAGCCCGCTAAGCACCCGGATAGCGCTCCGTAATCCGCCACAAGACCTTGAACTATGCAGATAAGGCTGGCGGCACGCATGCGCAGCTGCGGCGTTTTCTTCGGGGATACCGAAGCGGAGGAGAAAAACGATCTACTACAACTCCCTAGTATCTGCAGGTGCGCTGCGCTACGCCGCGCTTGCTACACTCGACGTCGGATCATACCAGAGCCTGAAATGATCAGTTCAATACACTATTTTCGAAAGTTCACCACAGCACCACTGGCGGTCGCTATTCTTCGGGCACGAAGAGTGAGATTTAATTCGAGTCTTTGCCGACCGCTGATGCAGCACTCGTCCTTATGATGAGCTTAGTGCCCGTCCTCAAACAGCGGCGTTCTCAGATTGTTGATCCAGCAGCTATTGGTGTCGACACTTTTAAACGGGTTCTATTATCCGTGTCTACCTACTCATTTTCTATCTTCCTTACTTCTTTTGTCTAATTGCTAACGCCGTTTATTGTTGACTGCAATTACAGCTGTTTGCGGCATTTTTTTTTTATTGTTTTTCACGGTGTAATTTTGGGCTTTAACGCTACGCACCAAGTCCTGACTCAAACCGGAACCCTACGTATGCTGTCGAGCTCGCAACGTACCACTTAATTAAAAAAAATTATCTTCCGTTTTTCTTTTCAAGGTCACCCTAAGAGTAAAGCCACATCACGAAAGGGAATCTGCTACGATGTCAATTTCAACTTCTTCTGCGATGATGATACAGGCTGCATCATATATCATATGGAATGCTGGGGAAGAGCCTTCATTAATTATTCAGACAAATACGTGCTATTCAGCAATCCCTTTTGTCATATACTGAGATCACTACAAAATGAAGAGGACTATGAATGTGGGTATAATGAAATGATTTCTCCTACAGTGGCAACTTATTAAGAACACATTTTTAGGCGCAAAATGAAAGTAATTGAATTTAAATATATGCCTGATATCCAAAATCTCTTTTTAAAACAGCTCTACTAAAAACAAGGAAAAAGTATAGACCAGACAAAAAACAGCGCTCATCTCTCTCGTTTTTCCTTGTCCTTGTTTTGTCGGGTTGTTTTGAACCAAGACTCTCGTCAACCAGCTAGCCCAAACATACCTTTTATCAAGATACTGAAAGTCGTTTCGATCTTAATACCAACTCAAACGCTTTTCCAGTCACGTGCCGTTCAGAAACCGACAACTCAGCATTCAATGACTGCGAAAATCACCCAAAGGTCGAGACAAAATCATTCAACCAAAGGGCGATAAGTGTAAAAAGTTTATTGCGCCTTAACACAAACAGAGACATAACAAAAGGATAGACGTATGGGTTGCACTGACGTCACATCGCATACCTTAGACCACCATGTAAGAGGAGGAGAGGTGAGCTGCTTTTGTAAGAATTTTAAGTGACGGGTTATTAATGTTCTATAACCTTCTGGGAGGAGAATAGCGACGCCTGTGCAAATCTGGGAGCCACAAAAGAGAATCCTGATAAGAGGGGAGCTCCCTCTTCCCCTCTCTCTGGTGGTTATCGGAGCGCTGTTTGAATGACGTCACGTGGAACCCATGTGTACAAGTGGCCTCTTCAGAATCATATGACACGAATGAGGCGAGAGCCCAGTTCCATGCAAGCTAAAGGCAACAAACCTTTCCAGCGCTTATCACCCAGACTAAAAATGCCGAGTCAGTCGGATGTGGACGCAAGCGCGCAGCCTGATATTCCGCTGAAGAAAGCAACTGCGCATGCTCAAAACGCGTTCCACAGACCAGAAGAGAAGGATGGCACGGCGCTGAAGGTGACTGTTGGAAGCATCTATAGACGTTTGGAAGTACGGCCTCTGGGCGCCGCCATCTTGCTCCTTGTGTGGGTTTATTCTATGAGAGTCAAGCATTTCTGAGGCGTACCTACGGATTCCAGACTGGCGCAACAAACAAAGTGTGTTCCACCCACGGTGGACATACTAGCTCTTGAAGCGCGGCCCCTTAGAATCGTCTATAGGATGCGTCGTTGTCGGCGTAGCAGGCAGAATTGCACACTACCGTGGTGCTGACCCCATGCGGAGACTTATATGACTCCTTTTATACTCATGCCAAAGTCTGGAGCGGTCCTGGTGAGATCACCGGTTGGTAAATGTACTCGAGCATTCCACCAGGTCAGGGGTAGTGGAAACAAGTGTTGGGAGCTGAAATTGCATAGATCCAAGGACAATGCCCACTCAGCCTCGAACCTGGCGAAGAATCGCAGTCCTAACGCTTCTGTGGCTACCATGTTCGTCGGATACTAATATAAAAAGATACTCTACTCATTTATTTTTCACTACGGTAGAAACAAAAAGACATAACTGAAGTACGAGATCAAGGTAGCAATAGGCCGTAGAACACTGAAGTTTATTAAGTTTGCAAGTACATCTCCAGGTACAAATTTCACGGGTCATGAAGGTTGGAGATCTTTATTTGTCGCCACCCGACTGCAGCTAATAATCGAAGCTTTAGCCAAAATATAGGATATGAAATATAAAACAGCCGATTAAAATGATATAGTGCAACGCCCCAAATATAAGGGTACAAACAGTTTTACTAGCGGAGACCAGCGGTCAAGTCGTGTGTGCTACAGCGTATTCTGATTTTAGTATTTTATTTCTACCTTGACAAAAAGCCGCGGATGAAAAATTAGACTTTGGTTTTCCTGACATTACATCTAACTCCTTATCTTCACTCTACTTGTAGAAAACCTATTCAAGTGGCGAAGTTAAACCTCTTATCGCACGTTGATGTGGGAACAGGCGGCAGCCATCTTGCTTAATCTTTGCCTTAATTTTAATAGACAGGCCAATATTTAAGGTGCACCTTAATGAACTCGTTCGAATTCTAAAAATCAGGACACCGGTGATGTAGTGCAGCATTACAGATCGCGAAAGCTCGCATCGATAGCTACGCTGGTGAGCCTAAAGTTTAAAATCGCAGAAAGATCAATAGAAGTGCGTACTGTCATATCTTTGAGAGCATATTAAAACGATTACACCCTGTCTGTGAAACTTGAATCGTATTCTAGTTTTGTTTTTTCTGCAACGTTAAAAAGAAGTCTCCTCGTAATTTTTTTCTTTATTTAGCTTTTTCAGGTTGGGCAAACTTACATCTATATTTTTGCCAGAGAACCGCTTGTTTTTCATTTGTTTTATCCTAAGCGAACTGTTAAAAACTGAAATGCGCGTTTTTCCTTTTGCCTCAAGATATGGTTCTTTTTTTTTCCAGCTTGTGAATTCTGGTTGAGGGAATTTTTGTTAAAAAATGTGACCATTCCCCAAGCCAATACAAGAGCAGGAAGCGAAGCAACCGAGGAAAAGAAGAAGGAATTGGACAGTTCGAGTAAAACTACGTATTTGTATGATTCCTTATTTAAGGAACTTCCGTCCAGCTGCCGACACGCATTTCTTTTCAACTGTGGGTATCCGACATACCGATTTTATGACAAGGAAGATTGCGACAAGATAGTTAAAACAGATATGGCTGCATCAAGTGACGTAAACGCAAGTCGTTAGCACAATAATTCCAGCAAGTATACTTCCCGTCTCTGTATCGGACATCGCGCTCAAACTACCTTCCACGTGTCTTTTGACGTTGTCTTTTGTTGTGTCGCAAATGGGAACCAGGGCAGTACCTAAGACAGCCCTTTAAACACTGGGGATGACTTCGGGCAAGTGCAGGAAGTAGCAGGACTTTGTGCCGTGTGATTGTGTGATATCTCGAGAAGAAACCTTGCAGTCTGCAGTGCTGAAAAAAAAAAAAAAAACTAGTAATAAAAAAGTCAACTTTAGTGAGTAGTACCTAAGATATACTTCATCTCTGTATTTTTGCAATAAAAATGGCAATAAAATAAGCATTTCTTTCAATAAACATTTATGACTTCAAAATGGTTGCTGTGAATAAAACCAAGGGGCCTGCGTTTCCGTGGTGATTGGCTACAGACTACGTCGAGATCCAATAGCAATGGTTGTGTTCTATGAAGGCAGCATGCCGCTGATTAAAGGGACGATGGAACTATTTTTGTAATTCGCGCGAAAACCAATTAGAACGGACCCCTGACATTAAAGCCACGAAACTCGCTACCGGAACTTGAGGCCACGTGATCTGCTCCCGACTATACGCCGCCAATGTTGATAATAGCCACGCGCTAGGGTTGGCAAAGCACAGGACACGCGCTGACATCCAGACATCGTTATGGTTCGGCTTTTGTTGTCATTGCAGCGATTGGACATGGGCCACTACCCGAATGGCTCTCGTGCTATCGAACATCACGAGCCCAAAACCAGTGCGCACACAATGCTCGGGTCCAATCTACGAGCCGCATTCAAATATCGTCAGAGGGGGGGGGGGGGGGAGAATCTTCCACTTACGTCATCAAATTTGGCTAAGGAGAGATTCAATAAAAGCGCTCGCTTTTGTCGTTGAAATTACATTGCAACAAAGGAGTTTCTTGGCGAGTGGAGTTGCGTGCGAGTATCCTTGAGTCCCACTAGCGCCACTACGCTCGTGTAAAGTGGAAAACAATAAAACTGAATATCGTTCAACCGCCCCTTTAAGTTGCCACGAAAGTTGTGAAGGGCAACCGAGCGTCAAATGGTCGGCCATTTTCATTCCACATAAGTGGTCATAATCAGCAGATTTACACTAATGTTTAGCTATATCCTCGTCCGAGCATTTGTTCCTCTGGCATGGCGTTGTGACGACTGCGGTACGCCCAAGGAGCGCCTGGTACTGCGACCTGTGGATGCACGCGATAGGGGGATAAAAGGTTACTTAATTAATATCGCTTCAATATTCTCCCCTAAAAATTAATACAAAATGTCTTTCTCGTTGACCGGTATTTGAACGTAAGGCTCACGATTCATGGTGTCCTGGGTTTGATTTCACTTGGGGGACACCCAGATATTTGTTTTCAATTTATTTATTCCCTAAGTACCCCCTCGTGTGCAAGCGTATTGTGTTGCATATCAAAATGCTTACAATAGGGCAGCTCAAAAATGGCTATTGCACTAATAACTAAAAACCAGTACCTATTTACAAAAGCAACAACTTGTCTTTATATTCTTTACTAGCTCGAGCCCGGGCAAAACTGAGTGAATACTTTTCTATCTGCAACAAACGCGTGTGTTTAACTGCTGTCTGGGCAGTTGCAAAATTTCGGCCGTACTTGTTTTGACCCCATTTTTTTCGTGATCAATGATTATCACGCTTTTGCTGGCTTTTGTGTTTGAAAGAATCTGCCCTTTGCTTTAGGGGTAAGTCCTTAGAATGCGAGAATCTGATTTTAGCATAACCTGTAATTATGTGAAGCTCCATCAAGACGTGGACAGCCTGCCCTGCCGCACTATGAACCATGGCGAGTTAACAGCATGGATGTTGTAACTGTGAACCATTCTGACAACTAAGTGAGTTCTGGCAAAAGTTGCAAATATGTTCTTTTTTTTATATTGGTTTTCTTTGTAAATACGCCGTTCCCAAGATTTGCATTTTTTTTTTAAGACGAGCCCTGGGAATTATTTTCATTCGTTTCAGAGAATAAAAAATATCGATGCTCGCATTGTGAGTAAAGAAAACAATAAAAATACTTCAGGAGTAGCCCGCAGCCTCATATGGCTTGTAAATATCTGATCAACTTCACGATGGAGTTGCTAATCCAAATGAGCGATCCTGGTCATGCGCAAAAGAGAGAACATAGTTCGTTTTGCCAAAGCAGCTGCAGCAAAAAACAAATTGGCAACATTTCTACATTGGATAAGGTAAATGTATTGCTTACGTCATTCAACGCGCAAGGAGCCAACCTTAAAAAAAAAAAATACATGACAAAAATCGTCGTCCATTTCATCGACGATTGTTGGTTATTGTTAAATGGTAGCCGAGAGCCGCATAAATCGTGGAGCAGTACACTTGCTTGCCGAGTAATTCTTAAATTGCTTTCCGCACCAAAAAGGAACTGAATAAATAAAACAGGCTCTGGAACGATTCTGTACTTTCAGCGAATACCGCTTAGATACAGTCGCTTGCGATCTTAAATGGCAACTCCGCTCAATTTCGAAAAATTGGAGTTAGTGAATGATGTTATCTTGCAAAGCACTCATAAACGACCCTGCACACTCTTTTCCTTGAAAAGTAAATTAATTTCCGAGTAATCTTGAAAGAAGCAAAATCGCAAAACGAAACCGAAGCTTCGGCAAGGATGGGCAACACTATCGTCAGCGTCTACGGTCGACCTCGGGAGCATGCACACACCACGTGGGATACAAAGGGTCACGTGGCCTTCCGCACGGACAGGCGCTGCACACACGTCGTCTGCATCGCATCGGCTGCACAGGACGGCTCCCACTTTATTTCCGTTGTGAGCCGAAACACACAACGAGGTTTGTTCTTGCCAAGGTATATTTTGTACGCAATCGTAGTAGATGCAAGCTGGGCCTGTAGCTGCCGTCATATCTTATTTTATGCGGGGAAGCCAGTGCAATCACAAGCTTGTCAACGCTACGTTCTCGTGTACGCTGCACGCGCTTGCACGCTGGGAGTGCTGTATTTCTAACCTGAGCGGGTCTGAGGAAGGACTGTTGCAACGTAGTTAGCATGTGTGGCTTCTGTTCGTTGTTCTAATAACTTGTGCGGTGCGACCGTTCGTTGTTCTAAATTCCGATTACGTAGTTCCAATAGCCCCCGTGCAACCCATGCAACCCTCCGATGGAAACGACTGCGTTGTTGCGTATGAGCGACTGCCAGTCTGTCAGGAGACAGTGAACGTACGCATCGTGCATCGTGTTAGCATTGCCCCGCGAGAAAGATACATCTCGAAAGCCCGCGATCGCGTAGTGAAAACGTGTTTTGGTTGCATGAGCAATCGCTCAACACTTGTCTATGCCAAAGCGATGTGCTGGAGTAATATTTGATTGCACATGTTGCCGACGTAAAATCGCGTTAGCCACTCAATTTCCTGGCTGTCGAGATCTGAACTTGATGGAGCCACCGCTGAGCCGTCTGCTGTCGGGGAAGCTGTGCCGCGTGCGAAGATCGACGGCACGGCGTCCTGCTTCAGCGTCGCGTACTTCGTTGAGAAGCCACAGTCAGCTAACACGCGCATATTTCGTAATTAACCACTACAGGCTGGGAAGGGCTAAATACCCCGCAGCAGACAGGATCCCTGTCCAAATGACAGTCAGTGCCGTGGCGCCTTCTTAAAATTAATAGATTTCCAAACTCAGTGGTGTACAGCCGCTGCTATCCGGGGCTTTACTCCAGCGCATGTAAGCATTGCGAGGACAGGGCCGACCTGCAACATATGGTCTGGTCCCCTGTCCCTTTAAAAAATATTGAAAGAAAAGAAATAGAACTCAACGTTTACTGTTAAACATTAGAACCTCCGAGCAGTGGGAGACCGTGCTGCTCAGCGCGAACTCGGGAGAACAGGGCCGTCTGGTCCAGATGGCCGAGGCCACCTCCAAGGAACAAGGACTCCTGCAGTCGCCGACTGAGAGGGGAGAGGGGTGGCTCTGTCCACACTCCATCTTCCCTCACCCCATTTATGGACAAATAAATGTTGTCATCATCATCAGTTTTGTCAAGGTGTATGTTTTTCAGACGTACTTATGTCAAGGGTGCCCATACCTATGTGGAAAACCCGAGGTTATTCGATTCAGCAAAATTTTCTCTAGGACATATGCTGCGCCGCACAAAAAAAAAACGTGTGGGAAAGAAGGGACTTTTTTTTTTTCAAGCAACACATTGTAATATTTCACACACGAACATCACAGTCAAGCTTTCGCTTTCCGATAAAAACACATTTTTATTATCAGTTTTGCCAAGTTAGCAATACAAGAACCGCTAAACGTAGAAGAGGCACGAATGTCAATGGAATGCAATTGATTAATTTTTATTAGGCCATAAACACTATAAATAAATAATTTTATACTAAAAAAATTCCTTTTTTTTCTTTCGTCAGACTCTTGGCGGCGAGATCCTTCGGTGGCGTTCTCTAGTGGTTTCCGATCGTGACGTGACGAGCAAACTTTTCCTCGTCGGGAGGTCACGAGTGGCATTCTTGTCTCCTTATTATCAGTTGGGAACTAAGCTCGATGGTGCGTGTAAAAAGCACGATAGAAGTTTGGAATCATCGCGTTCTTAAAACAACACCGTCAAGGTTATTAAGGACATCATAGTGAGCGTTTGCCCTATCACGAATGCCGATCACAGAGATGTTCTTGGGCGGCAATGTTACCAATATCCTCTCCTGTTTCTTTTTCTAGAGTAAGAAGTGCTCTCTCTGTGTCATTTTCTACGACTTGAAAGTCTTCATGTCTCACCACAGTGGCGGATTTTACAAAATATGATTAACTGTCGCCAGCTCACACGCACATAGAATCTCTTTTCGTTAGACTATATCTGTACACATAAAAATTTCATCACGATTTAATCTGTGTAATACACTCCCGGGAGATCTGTTGTTGTTGATACCACGTGTGTTGCCATACCATGCCGACGTTATTCACATGTTTCGCACATG